TGATCATCGTCCTGGGCCTGGTGTTCCTCACCACCCGCCTCACCCTGCTGACCTCTCCCATGCCCGCATAGCCTGGGTTATGTTGGTATCTCATCACCTAAGGGCAGTGGAGGGTCTTTTCTATCTATGGCTCTTATCTCATGGCAGTCCTGCTCTCTGTGGGTCTGGGATGGGATGTGTATTTTCTAGTATCACATTGTGGAGATCATAAACAATGCTGAATGATTATGATACGACAATAAGACTAAAGTAACATAGATTGTAGTATTATCTTAACATTTTATTTCTGTGACTTGAAAGCACTCCTTTCTGTTATTGTAAAGGGAGTCAATATTTCTTGTTATATTGTGTGCCTATTCTGTGCCAATATTGCATTAAGCACATGATTCATTTTCTGGGTTCCTTCATAAAATATTCCCTAAAGCACAAAACAATAAATCAAGCATGCTGAGAATTTTAGAGTAATAATTTGATAAAAAGTGGTTCAGTAAAAATTGGTGTTCTCAGCAGTTACAATGCTTAACTGGGGCTGTCTTTCTGAAGTAGAATTACAAGTGATTTTTTTTAATCTACATATTTAAAATATGATTTTAGAACCAAGAATTAATTAAATTTGGACATTGGCATAAAACCTATTCAATGACTAGCAAGACACCCCAGATAGCGGGACATGGGATGGAGTGAAGGGATGAAAATACAAACATTTGTCGATTTGTTTATACACAACAGAGCTCTCTCAAGTCTCAAGATCAGTTTCATCCAAGACCAAGTCTGTTTGTTTTTAAAAAGGAGGACGTGTTGGCGTCCTGTACCGAAGATCTTGTTTTTGAACGCAGAAGACGGCACCAGCATGCGTTTTCTTGGGCCACCCCCCGACCCCCTTTTCCCCTTTTCCTTGTGTGGAAGGAGTGGGGATCACAAGCCTAGGAAAACCAGACCAGACCACCCTGGCCTTGAATCTGGCTTTTTGGTCCTGACCACAGGAATTCACTATTGCATTGCTAGTCCTAAAGCAAAGGACTAGAAATAAGCAAGTGCTGTGTTTGTCTTTAATATTCCTCTTTTTCTGAACCAATTTCCCACTCTCTGACCCAACCCCCAGCCACCAGCCACACCACGCTAGTTACTGTCTAGACGTTCAGCCTGCCCTCTGGCCCGTGTCAATAGACCATCCTAGTAGTCCCAATAAAAACACCCTTCCTGGGGCTCAGCTAATAGTAATGGGTGTTTACTAGACCTATTACAGGGATCATGACAGGTAGGAGTGACAGCCGGTGTGACTGAAGCAGACATAGGCATTCTTAGGCAAAATTAAGTATTTCAAAAGTAGAAAAAGTAGAAATGGGTTGTGATGTCCTCATTTGGGACTAAAGAAGTTTTCTGCCTATCCACATGAACATAAGGGCCCTCAGGTCATAATTACTCAAGTATTAAGTTTCCAGTCTTTTATCTTATTGTATTATTCAAGGTCCTAGGTAGGGGGAAAAGAAACCACCATTGGCATTTTAAGCTGGAATGAAGTTAATGCAGGAAATTTGGTGTTCACAAAGTCACTGAAAGTATTACACAAGCTCTGGTTCTAACATGAGTCTCCAGGGATAATCTTAAGAGCAATAATAGTCCGACCCATGTGGAGAAATTCTATGTCTTATGCAATTAAGGAAAGAGGGGAATCAGAAGGTTGCCATTGGAACTATTGGATTCAAGAGCAAATCAGCGCAGCTGCCACCCAAGTATCAGCATCAAAACTACTTCTTGGTTCCCATGAACCCAATGTCTGGACACACAGAGTGACCACCAGATCTCAGTGCAATCCTCTCAACATCTCTGTACGTAATGACTGGACCCAGAATTCTGCTGCAGAAAAGTGCCCCATGAATATGTCTGACAGTAAAAAGGAAAAAAAAAGAACTCAGAGTTCCTGCTACCTCATTTTAATATTCCAAACGTCACATAAGTGCATCTTTTCAATAAAACCTAATTTATATCCAGAATCCAATCTGCAAAGGAGTCTGGAAAAGTGTTCTTTTCTTCTTTCCAGACTTTGAAGTGCAAAGAATGCACACTAGAATGTCTTCAGAACAGAAGCAGTGTGCCAATGGATCATTCTTCAAGCATTTTTTCTTATTTTATCGACTTGCCATTGGTTTACCATTCTCTATCAGTTTCAAGAATATAGCTTCACACCTCGATATGTAACTCAGAGTAACTCACCACACCCACCACAAAGTTCTACTGCCATCCCCACTATCAAATTAATCCCCTCTGCTTTCCTTCCCACCCTCTTCCTTTTTCCTACCTGTAACCAACATTTGTTTTAAGTTCTTTTATTTTGGCAATTTGACAGCTTATTTGTTTTTGGTTATCTATAGTACACATATGAGAGAAACCACCCAGTAATTTTGTTTCATTTTCTCACTGATTTTTGCTTAGCATAAGCAAAATAAGGTCCATCCATGTTGTCTCAAGAGGAAAGACTTCACCTTTTTTAATAGCTGAGTAGTATTCCATTGAGTATACAGATCACAACTTCTCTTTCCATTCATAAATTGATGGACATTTAGGTTGTTTCCATATCTTGGCATTTAAAGCCCTCAAACATTTATTTACAAAATGTTTATTTAATAAAATTATTGTTTAAATCAATTTTTCTTTCCCTAAATTGGTATTTCTAATCCTTAATAATTTAAGTTTTCATATGGTCTACGTAGAGGAACACTTAGTACAGTCCAGATCATCTAGAACATACAGATTGATGCTAAATAAAATGTTAAAAGCACCCAAAGAAAATATGGAACAGGAATTCCCAGGGGGAAAAAGTGGAAAGGTTTCATTAAGTTAATTAAGGCTGCTGTTATATGTGCCCTACCCCAGGCTCCATTAATAAGAAAAACTAATACCAGCTGATTCTGTTGGAGCAGCTGGTGCAGATGAGGGCTTCTAACTCCACCTCTAATACCCGGACACCACCCAAGCCAAAGAGGATGAGCCCTGCATCAGGCCTTGGTCTGAACTCATCCCTGCTGCTGTGAGTGAGAAGGTTGCAGGGAAGCCAGCTTAACTCAAAATTTTTTAAATGATACTTTCCTTAAATCATGATCCCTCCCCCATCTTTAAGACTTGAGCCAGGGCTGTGGGTACAGCAGCGCCATACAAAGGCTGTGCTCTCTTTGTGATCAGGCGGGTGGGAAGAGCAAAGCAACAGCTGTGTCAGTCCAGATGCCACATCCTCTACCTTCATTTCAGGCTCTTTTCTCTCAATTCACTATGCTCGGCTGTTGGGGTGGCAGTCACCTGAACCTAGGTCCTGGATAAAATCATAGTATGTTGTGATAAACTGAAAATGAATGGATGCAGGCTGCCATGATGTAGCTGCTTTAGTCACCCACCCCAGTCAACTCTAAAGAACAGTGGGGAGGGAAGAATCCAACCAGTTGCCTGAGCACTGAGAAACCCAGTAAAATAATGCATGAAAGTAAACTAAGCATTATGCAGAGAGAGAGCCACAGATAGTGTGCAATAGGCCAGGAAACTGAAGGAGCAGTGGAGAATTACCGCAGACCTAGAATAAGAAATTGAAGTAGGTATGAAAGAATTAAACCAGGATTAAATATTCAGGGATTTCTTATATCCCCCTTTGATACATCCCCCACTGATTTTTACCCTAATCAGGTGAAAAAAATGAACTCTTTTCATACTTCATTTCATCTGTCCTTTTGCTGCCAGGAATGAAATCCCACAACACTGTCCCAAACCTAATTGCACTGGAATTACCTGTTTTGTTCTGTTTTTAATGACAGAGAAGAGGGTCTCATCTCTGGAGACTTTTGGAACACTAGAATCAAAAGCACTACAGCAAAATATAGGGAAAACTAGTCACAAAGAATGGAACTTACAAAGAGATTTTATGGAACTGACTGGGAAACAAGAACTATATTCAGAAAGATAACATTTTCAAATTGAGATGGAAGGCGCTAAAAATTACCCTGACTTGTATTTTAAAAAATTCTGTCCCTGTGAAATCTTCACTTCTTTTTTCTTTTTCAGTTCAAATGAGCTTATGCTTTCAGGCTCAATAAAATGTCACCTTTTGGGTAAGCGGTACCTGACCAGTTTCAGATAATTATTTTTCTTCTTTTGTACTGTAACACTAGTACAACTCTCACCATCTGACTTGGTCAACGCTAAGTTGAACGTGTGCCTGTCTGTTCCATGACCAAACATGGACAATCTCTCTCTTTTTCACATTTGGCCAACAGTGCCTAGCATACTTCCCGGCACATGGTGGGCATCAATATGCACATTTTATCTCAATATGAATCTGTCTCTTGGTACAAACATTAGCACTACGTAGAATAGTAAAGCATGCAAGAGTTTGGACTCTGGAGTTAGAAAAAAAAATAAATTTTAATCTTCTCTTCCTCATTTAATAGCTATAATTTCCCCATCTAAAAAGTGTACTAATCATAGTACTTAACTCAAAATAAGTGTAAGTGGGAAACTAAATGGCATAATACATTTAGAGAGTTAAGAACATGGAATAAACTAGAGATTATGCTTTATGGAGAAATCATCATCATTGGATCTGAGTTACAGCACACTGCATATCTATGTAACCATACGGGACTCTATGAAGATATGGTATCAACTCTTCTCTGCCTGGCACAGTATCTGATAAATGGGAAAGATTAATAAAATCTGGTTGAATTGAATGTTTAAAAAAATGTGTTCTGTCTTCCATTAAAATAACATCAAATATTTTAATTGACCTTGCCCCTGTCTCCTTAGATGACTCTATACAACACTAGGGAAGTATTTGTGAGATCGTAGAAGTCCTTTAGAAAATATATTGACCACATACACTGTCAGATTTGGGGGTTGAAAAGAATGATTTATAACTCACTTTTCTCTAAAACCTAAGCAAATGTGGTGGTGGGGGAAGTGCTTATAAGCACAAAGGTTCTTGTAGGATAACTTCAAATATATCAATAGACGTAGGATTAAAGTCCCTGAGAAGACACTGTGTGAATTTCAAAAACCCTTCTCAGGGCAGTCTTCATATCATTGTTCCTGAGGCTATAAATGAAGGGGTTCAGCATGGGGGTCACCACTGTATAAAATACTGCTGCAACTCTGTCCTTACCCCCAGAGTCTGATGAAGGAGGGCACAGGTAGACCCCGATTGCTGCTCCATAAAACAGGAAGACAACAGTGAGGTGGGACCCACAGGTGGAGAAGGCCTTCCATCGGCCAGAGGCAGATGGCACCTTGAGGATGGTGGAGAGGATGCGGGCATAGGACAAGATGACCAGTGACAGTGGACCAGTGAGTATTGTGGAGCCCACAAGGAACAGGGCTAGCTGGTTGGTGCTGGTGTCCGAGCAGGAGAGCTGCAGCAGAGGGACCACATCACAGAAGAAGTGATGGATGACATTGCCTGCACAGAAAGAAAGCCTAGCCATGAGCAGAGTGTGTAAGATGGCAGCAAAGCTGGTGAGAACCCAGCATGCAGCAAGAAGAAGCACGCACATCAGTGGACTCATGAGTGTGGAGTAGTGCAGAGGCCGGCAGATAGCCACATAGCGGTCATAGGCCATCACCCCCAAGAGGAAGTCATCCAGGGCCCCAAATGTCATGAAAAAGTACATCTGGGCCAAACACCCCCTATAAGATATGGCCTGACTATGTGCCTGGATATTCACCAGCATCTTGGGGAGTGTAGTGGAAGAAAAGGACGCATCAGCAAAAGAGAGACTGGCCAGAAAGAAGTACATGGGAGTGTGGAGGTGGGGATCAAAGTTAATGGCCACGATGATGAGCAGGTTTCCCATGACAGTGACCAGGTACATGCCTAGGAAGATGCCAAACAGGAGAGGCTGCTGCTCTGGCCTTTCAGAGAGACCCAAGAGGAGGAATTCAGTGACACTGGACTGGTTGCTTCCATCCATCCCCCCACTCTTTCTGGAAGAAGAAGAGAAAAACATGGCAAAAATGTAGTGAGGCAGTACTGTTAGCTCTCTCTACAATAGATCCCCCCATACAGAATTCACATGGCTATAGCCCAAATCACCACACATTCCCTCCAAGGCTGCCCACTGATCCCTCCTTGATCTTCCTGTGGAAGGAAAGCAAGCAGGCACAGAGGCTAAAATACAAAAGCAAAGTCAGAAGTACTGATTGGGAAAAGTGAATTCCAAGTTACTTCATCCTTGTTATATGTCCACTAAGGCCACATTCCCTGGTGTCAGTGCACCTAAATGCATGAGCAGTAAGAGTTGCTACTTTGAACCTTAAGCACCATACAATGCCACATCTAACTGAATACTCATGAGTATCATGACATACATTTCACAAATGAGTTTTCAAAATTCAGTGAAACTGTCACTGGTATGGTATCACAAAGAAGATAGTAAATACAAACTGGGACTCTGCAACTATTTCCCATGTCCCTAAAGACCAGGCATCACTGACACCTCTGAGTATAGCCTCTTCCTCTGAAGCAGGCAGACAGGGGTGGCTCACTCTGTAAGGGAGTAGTTACCACTGGTCAGAAGGATGGTCTGAGGATGGGCAGGGGGACTGACCAGGACTTTGTGGGTATCAGAGGGAAATCATAACCCTGCCCCTTTCTCACAGCACTCACCATATGTATCTGTCCCAGCAGCATTCACCACCACAGGAACCCACCCTGTTCCTGCAGTTCCCCCTGTTGCTCTCAGAGAACCATGCTCCAAATGTGGCCAACTCTTGTGAGCCTACAGCAAACGGGGAGTCTGAGAGGACCTGTGGCTGCTGGTTGCATTTGTCCAGCCAGAGAGCAAGCCACCCAGATTGCAGTGATGGGTGATAGATGCTCTTTGTGCACATTGTCACAGAAGTATTTCTAGGTTCTGAGTCCCTAGGGTATAATTCTACTGACTGATCCTCAGAGACAAACATGAAATAATTAACTTAGTTTTACACTTTGAGTCCTCAAGCTATCCCTCACTAAGGAGCATGGAAGGAAGAAGAGTGGTGTTTTGGTGGTTTTGCATTTCATATGTGGTATTCCCAGGGATGTCTCTACTCTTAGAATGGTGGTTGCCCTGGGACAGCTCCTTGGGAAAAGATGGAAACTGGCAGAAAGGAGTAAGAACAGGAGGGAAAGTGGAGTGAGCAAACTTTGACTTCAAATAAGGGTTGGGTTGTTTAACTTCTATGAAACTCTGGCTTTTGCGTTCTTGTGAAGAGGATGACTAGCTTTAGTAGCTGGTCCCCAACACAGTTAGTTCTTGGGAAATAGTCCTTGAGAAACTGTGATAGTCCTTGAGAAATTGTGATAAACAAAAGAAAAAAATCTAAGAAATCACAAGGGATCCTTAATAAAACTAATAGCTGATTTCTCATCCATGGAGGCCAGAAGCTAAGGGAAATACGAAGTCCTGAAGTTCTGAAATGAGAACATTGTTTACCAAGGATTCTATATTTGCTAATATTTTTTTTTCCAAAACTGAAGGAGATAATAAATTTTCAAATTAAAAAAGTTTAGGAAGTTCGCTGACAGTAGACATGTTCTATAAGAAATGCTGAAGGGCCTTATGTTCAATTCTTTCATCCATTTTGAGTTGATTTTTGTGCATGGTGTGAGGTAGTGGTCTAGTATCATTCTTTTGCATGTGGTGGTCCAGTTTTCCCAGTTTCATTTACTTTAAATTGATTATATTGATTAAAATGTCAATCCATCAAGAGGATATAAAAATAAAAAACATATGCCTCTAATAACAGATCTCCAAGCTATATGAAGCGAACTTGACAGAATGACAAGACAAACCACCCTAACAAAAAGTGGACAAAAGACTTAAATCGGCATTTCCTAAGGAAGATATTCAAGTGGCCAACCAACACATGAAAGTTGTTCATTGGGAAAATGCAAATCAGAAACCACAACAAAATGCAACTCAAAATTACCATTCCACACCCACCAGAAAAGCCATAATGTTTTTGCAGATGATTTGATCTTTCAAAAAGTATTAATCATTCTATTGTGATAACCGTCGTTTACAACACCGTGTGTGTTTTAGGGGTATAGGTTCAGACCTCTTTCTGTATGTCACTGCACCACACCAGAGCACCAGAGCACCAGAACCCCTCCACCACAGTCCCCCGGACCCATTTCCCCATTCCTCTTCACCTCACCTTTCTGATAACCTCAGTTCTGCAGTCAGATTTCTGGAGTTTGTTTTGGTTTAGTTTTATCCCTTTGTTGTGTCAGATCATAAAATAACAAGCGCCAGCAAGGCAGAGGAGAAAGTGGAGCACTGAAACATTGCTGGTGCGAATGCCACTGGTGCAGCCACTATGGAAAACAGTTCGGTCCTTCCTCAACAAGTTAAACACAGAAATTACCATGTGGTCCAGCGATTCCATCCAAGCATACAGCCATGTGTCACTTAATGACAGAAATGTGACCTACTTCATGCACTCTGCCTTCCACATTTATTCAAGCTCTTCCATGCCATTGCCATAGCTGATCTTGGATGAGGCCATAATTGTAGTCCCACTTTGCTGGTCAATTTCCAGTGTTTAAAGGGTCCTTTACTGACCATTGTAGACTCAAGGTAGTCACATCACATGTACACTTGCTGTTAAGTCTCTTGAGTTAAAGTTCTCACATTAAGGCCTCTACACTCAAAATATAAGTTAGGCCATTATTAAAAGGGCAGTGGGGAGAATTATATGGGGTGCACGTGACAAGCCCCCTTGGAATTATGACATCTCCAACATGACGCCAACGTAACAGGAGGCCAGCCTCTCTTCTGGAGGACTGAGTCCCACATTTTCCAACAATATTTACACATTTCTGTTATTCTGATCAACAAGGCTTTATGCCTCAAACTCCTAAATTCAGCCTAAGACAATTACAAACCCAGTGATATCATGACCTCATCCTCAACCAACACCACAATGGTCTGATGGACCATGCATGACATCAGACCCACAGCTGGCCCCATTCCTGTGATGATGTCAGACCTACAGCTGGACTCATCTGTGATGGTGACCTTGATCTACCCTTTGGACTCATCCAAGTAAAGTTTACACAATCTTGGGTCCTCCACATACCTCCTATTTGGTGCTTCCTTCACCCTCTAAACACTGCCTGTTCTCCTACCCCTTCTTAATCCAACCCCAACCATCACAAGCTGCTCTCCCTTTTCCTCCTACCCTTGTTCTTCTTGATCCTTCTTTGGATTTCTTTGCAATTACAGTACCACTCTCTAATATATTAACATCATGTGAGGATGCATTACACAATAATTTTTAGGTAAGCCTTACAGAGTGAGCAACCATGTTTTAAAGTAGGCAAATCATGGGTATGCCATGCACACCCTCTAACTGCTTGGACATGTTCCCTATCCTGTTGATCTTAAAGAAACCTGCACAATCTACTCCCTCTGCATGCCTCTAGTAGGCCACATCACTGAGCTATGCCTTGCTTGGCCTCCTGCTCTTCCCTTAAAAATACTAACTCCAGGGGGCCTCCCCGGTGGCGCAGCGGTTGAGCGCTGGGTTGCGAAGCTGCCTGCTACCTCTGTGGCGCCGGTTCGATCCCCGGCTGCTCCCCGGCCACCAGAGGAGGGTCCCACATGGCTCGCAGACCTCTCCTGCCACCTGCTGCTCCCCTCAGCAGTGGACTTGGGTCCTTCTGCCTGCTCTGCTCCCCGCTCTGGCTCTGGTGAATTCTCTCACCCTCCCGCACTTCTGACTGTACCCAGTGCATGTATAAACAAACAAACAAACAAATAAAAAAAAAATACTAACTCCAATTATCCAGAATAACCCTACATCATGTCCTGATCAAAATGCTTACTGGAAACATATTGGGTGTTCATTATCCATGCCAAAGCGAAGGCTAAGTTTTTTTCCCATGAGGTTTATTCTTTTATTCCTGAAGTATTCCTCACTACTGCATTTAATTTATTCCTCTAATTCAGGCTGCCACTCCTCCTAATTTGATTCATAATAATTTGACTTGTATTTTGGGATCATGCCTCTAAACAAGCTCACCAACCTGTTGTCACCACCATGCATGTTGTATTCTTACCAACTGCCTTCATTCTGGAAGTCACTGGTGCTGCATCAGAGGACACAGTATATTATACAATAATTAAACAAATAATGCCAATCAAGAAGTGTTCAAAATAATATGTAAGTACTTGATTCAAACTGCCCAGCCCTCAAAGCCCCATAGGCAACACTCCATAGCCACGATGGTTGCGGAACATCACTTAGCTTAAGTCATCTGCCAGTCAATCAAGGGGGCATTCGTTCCCTTGCAGGTCCTGATTGCTTTATGTGGATAAACAACACAGGCGAAGCTGCTCAGATCGCACAGCTTGTGGTCTCCAACAGACCTGTCTCACACCATAACCACCAAAACTTCAAACCCATTGTTCAGGTCAATTTACACCCACATGTACCTACCCAACTCCCCCCAGGATTCCATCCTCTTAAATTCTCTTCCCGCGTGAAGTGTCATCAGCTTCTCACATCCAAACCAAATCATGTTCCTTCTGATAGCACACACTATGGCATGCCTACCAAATATCTGTAACATGAGTCTTAAGTTGGAAATCATTTAAACATTAATTATTTTTTTAAATTCTGAGTCCCAGCTGGAACCATGCCCAAGAAGAGTTTGAACTTGGAACCATGCCCAGATACGCTGTCCCCATGACTCCAGTCCCCTCAGCTCCTGGACATGTTGCTCCCAACAGCAAACTGACCAATTCACAAGGGCTGCGATGAGCGCAGGTCATAAGGAAGTGGAAACCTGCCCTGGGCTCTCTGTTTGTGTATAAGCATCTCTGTGTTTATGGGCCTAGGTGTGCACACGTGCACATGCATGTCCTGTGTATGTTTGGGTACATGCTATTTGATCACTGCATGTGTGTGAGTGACTCTTAGCCCCGATTTTATTCCTCAGTTAGACCCAATCTGGGCTCTATTTCAGCACATGTAGACCAAGTTATCAGCCTCCTGAGCATGTGATCAGTCACTCCTGATCTATGCTTGTGATTTTAAATATTTACCTTCTGTTGTTATGACAGAGGCATGTCCCCCATTGGGAAGATGAAAGTACAGCTCTGGAGAGTGTTGTCTCTGTTTACCGTGAAGAAGATGGAACGGAGTTCCACAGAATTTGCAGGTCAGGAGGGCCAGGTTCACAGGAGGTGTGCAACAATGTTCCAATAACAGAGCTACACTACTGGAATCCCATGACTTTAAGGTAGAAACAACTGATA